GGTCCCTCGGGTCAATGATCTATCGTGCTGTGGCCTCCCATGCGCTCGTGTAAGAGTTCGCGCTCAGGGCTCGGGTGGCTCCCGCGGCAGCGCCAGCGTGCATTCTTGGCAGGGTCGCGTGCTTTCGCGGCCTGGAGGGAGGGGTACACAGGCCGCCCGGCACGCAGGCGGGGTAGCAAGTGTCCCGCCCACGCTGGCGTTTCCGTTGAGCAGAGTTTGAGGTTAGAGGTTATCGGGGTGTTTTTTCGCCTGTCCTCGGCGGTTTTCCTTGCCTCGGGATGCCTTCCGGCAGCTGCGCCTCGCGGGGGACGTTCGGCGTCGCGGGGGTGCCTCGATCTCGGCCGTGCTGACCCTTGGTGCGGGTCCACGGGGGTGGCCCCAGCACTGGCCTGGGCACTCGCACCCGGCCCCGCCGCTGCCCCAGGAGGCCGCGCGCCCAAGGCCTCTCCTTGCGTGCTGGCGAACATCGTCCCGAGCGGCCGCTGGAGGCCCGAGTTGGGCCCCGAGAGCTGGACCCCCTGGCCTCGCGAAGGAGTCACGGCGGGAGGTTTTGGATCGTTTTCTGCCCCTCGGGGCCCTAGCCAGGCCCTGGGACCGTCAAGAAACGGCTCGGGATGACAGCTGATCCTGGGGAAGCGGTCCAGGCCTCTGGGGGTCCGGCGTCCGGGGGAAGATCACGACATTCCGGGCCTGGGGTTGAAGAGAGGGGACAAGCTGGGGGCGCTTGCGCCACATCCGACACCCTGCCCCTCTCACCCGTGCCTTACCATTGCGCCGAGCTCTTCTGTGTCAGCCGGCTCTTGGTGTCCTGGAGGGCCATGCTCCCTGGGTTGACTCCATCGCTCAATGCGCAAGCAGGTGGGGGATTCTGTACATTGGAGGAGGATGTGGCGGATGGGCCGAATAATTAGCAGGAGAAGGAGGATGAAGAGGAAGGATGAGGAGGAGGAGGGGGAGGAGGAGGAGGAGGAGGAGGAGGAGAGGAGGAGGAGAAGGAGGAGGAGGTGGAATATTAATAACCATAACAGTAGTAGTAGTAGTAGTAGTAGTAGTAGTAGTAGTAGTAGTAGTAGTAGTAGTAGTAGTAGTAGTTAGTAGTAGTAGTAGTAGTAGTAGTAGTAGTGGTAGTAGTAGTAGTAGTAGTAGTAGTAGTAGTAGTAGTCGTAGTAGTAGTCGTCGTCGTCGTCGTCGTAGTCGTAGTAGTAGTAGTAGTAGTAGTAGTAGTAGTAGTAGTAGTAATAGTAGTAGTGGTAGTAGTGGTAGTAGTGGTAGTGGTGGTAGTAGTGGTAGTAGTAGTAGTAGTAGTAGTAGTAGTAGTAGTGGTAGTAGTAGTAGTAGTAGTAGTAGTAGTAGTAGTAGTAGTAGTAGTAGTAGTAGTAGTAGTTGTAGTAGTAGTAGTACTAAGACGAATAATGATACGCAGAGTACTACGAATACGAATAACAATAAGACAAACAATACTAATACTGATATGAATCATTTTCATGCCACGACCAGTATTCATATTATTCAGGGTGAGAACAACACATCTTATGAATAATGGGTTCCATACGAATAATTCGGTTAAAGGTAAGAGTACCACTAATAGCAATACTGCGAACACTAATACTCGTAAGAAAAACAGAGCAACACTACCAATAAGTTCTAATATTAATGTTGATCATAATGATAAGAAGGCGAATCCTACTATCGGTAAGAAGGTAACACGAGGAGGAGGATAAGGAGGACGAGGAGGAGGAGGAGGAGGAGGAGGAGGAGGAGGAGGAGGAGGAGGAGGAGGAGGAGGAGGAGGAGGAGGATGGGGAGTATCATTCAGCAGCAGGAGCAGGAGGGGCTGCGGACGGCTGAGGGGGAGACAGGGGTCGTCAGCAATGAATCGGATCCAGAAATGTGGCCCATGCTGGGGTGAGAACGCCTTTCTGAACGACAGGAGCGAAGCGCCGATCCTGAAATGTGACCAACACTGCAGCGGGAGCATAAATTTTGGTGGGCCGAGGACGTTCCGATCGGAAAGCTTCATTTAGAGTACACCTTCTCGACGTTTCGCGTATCACCATCATCATCATGATCAGCTGCCGCTCCTCATCATCCCTTGTTCCGTCACTCCTGGCCCTGTTTCACAGCTTGCAGCCGCCCCGCGGGCAGCCCAACACGTGTTGCCCCTGGTCGCGCTGCAGCTCCTTGTCGGCGAGAGGTGGCCCCTCTCTTTGCTCAGCATGTGCAGTCAGTCTGCCCGTGCTTGCCGTCGCCTCGGGGCCTCTGACCTGCCCGCTGGAGGGCGCGGTGCGGCCGCAGCCCGGCCTACCCCGCTTCTTTTTCGAAGTTGAAGTGGAGTTTTCGGGGGAGGTCCCGGTGCGGCCGTAGCCCGTCCGTCCTCCGTTCCTTCCTCGCGGTGCTTGTTCCCTACGTGTCGGCGTTCATCTGCGCGTTCTACACGGTACCGACCGTTTTCTTCCACGACTGCTACTCACCCGCCATTCCTGTTCGTTTCTTTGGTTCTTGCGTTACTCCTGCTGGTCTGTTCGCTGCTCTACGTCGTGGAGTCCCATAGGGTCCTGTGCTACGTGTTCGGCAAGGTACCTGGGGAGTCGTTGGCCCGTTTCGCCATGTTACTTCCTGGTCACCGCCGTCTTGGGTAAGTGTGGCGTTCTCTCGCCCATTCTTCACCAGCGTCACCATCGGCATCCTCGCGAGCGTGCTTCGGTACCTGTGTGGCGCTTCCCGCGCCATTTTGGCTGCGCTTCGTTCTGCTCCGCCCCGTGGCGGCGTAGTTGTCCATTGTTTTTCCTTCGCTACGGAGCGCCCGCCGTGGCGTGCTCGGCGTTCGAATTCCTTCGCGCGCCCGCGTGCCAAAAGTTCCCCGCCAGCCCGTCCCAAAACAATCGCCGGGCGAGTTGCCCTGATCAGCTGTGTGTATCCCTCGTGGAGTCACGCTCTGGAAGCCTCTTGGAGGCATCCTCGGGGCGTCGTGGGGCCCTCTTACCTCTCAGGGTCTTGTTGGTGCCATGTTGGAGGCTTTCGGGGCGCGCCCCACGGTCGTTTTGCAGTGTTATTTGGCAAGGGGTGCCCCGCGCGGTCATGATGGAGGTGCCCTTGCGCGCGCGGCGCACTTGGCGGGCGTCGCGCACTTGGCTGGCGTCTGCACTGGCTCCCATCCCCTGTCCATGCTAAGGCTCAGTTGCTACTTAAGTGGTGGGGGGGCGGGCGGGCGTGAGCGAAACGGCTGTGCTTCGTGGTGGGGGTAGCTCGACCTCTCCTTTTACCCCCTCTCCCTGGATGGCCTCCACGACCGCACAAGATATCACAAAATGGTTCCATCTCGCTTCCAACCTGCCCCGAAAACACCGCAGGACCAGACCAACGCGATTCCAATTAATTTTGTGATATCTTCTCGCCTTCTCATGTCCGATGAACCCGTAAGGCTTCAGGATTGTTCCAGGATGGCCCAATACAGCGCCAAGAGGGTCCCAGGAAGGGCCCAAAGCGGCCCCGAAAGCGACCAAACGACCAAACGCGCCCCAACAACCCCCAAAGAGGCCATGTTTCGGCCTCCGACGGGGGGGAACAATTGGCAGCGCCCCCTTTCTTGATCGATGGCCTGCGAGATGGCCCCAAACCGCATCTCAAGGCCCCTCAAGTCCACGCTATATGCACAGCATCAGAGCAGGATGCCTACGTCCTGGCCGTTGGAAACAATGAGAGGGAAATCAAGACCCCCAAGAGGGCCCAAAGAGGCCAAGAGGTATCCAGTAGGGCCCCAAGAGATTCCCTTTCCATTTTGCCTTTCCTTTCCATTTCCGGTCGCCAGGCTTTCTCCCGGGCAATCTACCATTTCCTGTTTGTGTTCGTTCCTTTTATTTTTACTATTTTCTGTAGTTTTCCACTTCCTGTCTCTTCCGAGTTCCCTTTCCCTCCCCTGAGGTCCCACGGCGCGAACAAAATCCGTCATCGTGAAAAATCACGACTGGCGCCCCAAACTTCATCTGTCTGCTGCAGTTTTTCCAGCCAGATCGATCTGCGAGGGTCCCAGAGGCGAAAATTAGGCGAACACGCCCAGTTCAAAATAATTGCGACGCGAGGATCTCAGGCTCCCTTCTGCCCTTCATTTCCATTTCCTCTTTCCACGCATCCTCTTTTCCCTTTTCCTTTCCCTTTCCCCTTGTGGCCGTCACCCTCGCCCCCCTTCGCTCTCGCTCTCTTCTCCCCCGCTCCCTCCCCCCTCCCTTCCCCTCCAACTTCCTTCCCCCTCCCAGGAGGAGGAGGGGAAGGCGGAGGAGGAGGAGGAGGAGGAGGAGGAGGAGGAGCAGGAGGAGGAGGAGGAGGAGGAGGAGGAGGAGGAGGAGGAGGAGGAGGAGCCCCCTCCCGCTCTCGCCGTGGCAAGGCTGGGCAAGGCCGCGGGCTGGGAGTGTGACGCCAGCAGCCTCAACGGTGCCAGGGCCACAGTGCGCTGAAAGAGGATGTTGTGTGACCGGGCTGGGGCGCAGGCTCCCGGCTGCTGAGTGAGCGACCGTCAGCCACGCGCAGTGGGGAAGGGAGAGGGGGCGCGGGCCTCGTCTATAGATGCAAGGCTAGCGCCTTCTAAGAAGCAGCCTCCTTCTAAGAAGCCTTCCCCCTCCCCCTGCCCCTCTTGTGCGCACCGACAAAGAGTGACCGTGGGAGGGTGGATGGCGCGTGGGCGGAGGGTTCGCTGCCACATGCCTTGTCCTTGGCGTCAAGGTCTGCTCCTCAAGTCTCAGTGATTTGGTCGCCTCCAGCTGCATCGGCCGCTGCATCCGCACCGCTCGATTGGTTACTCATCGGACCGCTAAGTCGAAAAGCGTTTGGGAGGGTGTGGGTCGTCTTTCTACGGCCCTTGCAGGTTCCCAGGCACTTTGGAGGAGCCGCTGGAGGCCTCCCTGGACCTCCTGGGGACCTCCAGGGGCCTTCGGGGACCTCTGAGGGGCAGGTGGACTCGCATGGGGGAGGAGAATGAATGCGGCTGTGTCGGGCACTGGGCGGGGATGGGTCGGATCGCGCTGGTGGTTCTGTCGGTGTGCTCGGGAGCGGGCTGTTGAGCAGATCAGCACGGTAGGGGTGATTGTTGGGCCACGTGGAATGTTCTGTCTTGATTATGGCGCTGATGCTTGTGTTGTGAGAAGGCAGCGCCATGGTACTGCATCACTCCGCCGATAGAAAACACATGGTGCTGTCTTGCTTTGAGGCTTGACCCACTCCGCCGACTTCCAAATCAGACTCATTACGATGTCCTGTATCCAGGTGCCCGCTTTCGAATTGGGATGGTCTGTGCTGGAATCACACTTTGTGAATGGCCTCTTGAGTGGCCGCACTTCTGTCGACAAGTTGGCAGGGGCCGCCTTCATTGCAGAAGTGCGCAAGCCAAGCCGAGCCTGAATGTTCAGGCCAGTTGCTCGGGTTGCGTTTCATCGCTTTGTGATCGGTTCATTCTACTCCATTCGCACTCCCGCCTCACCGCT